CCAGGAGAGAGGATAGGTAAATTAAGAGTGAATTTTTCCAACTGCATCTTGAAACATCGCTCCAGAGATATGTTCTCTGGTCTGATTAATTTTGTAAAGTGCTATATGTGAATATGGTGGAGCAGTGGTTATCAACCTTCTTAATGTTTCGACAGTCCCTCATGTGGAGGTAACCCCCAACCATAGAATTATTTCATTGCTACTTCATAACTGTAATTTGATACTGTTATGAATTATATTGTAGATATCTGTGCTTTCTGATGGTCTTAGGTGACCCCTGTGAAGGGTTGTTTGACTCCTAGAGAGGTTGCAAACCACAGGTTGAGAACCGCTGTTGTAGAGCCCTCCAGTGCACTCTAGTAAATCCTGCTTGGAGAGTTTGCATCAAAGAAGCTTATGCATGGTTTGATTTAATATCAAAAGTAAAAATAAAATAAAGTAACAAGTCACTGCTTTAGATGTTACTCTTTGTGAAACAAAAGTTTAAACACTGATCAAAGACATTGCTAATCAACTTTGATTTTACCACATTTTAGTCTTTAGGTAACAAAATTGGAGAATAAACAACATATTTGTTGTCTTTTGTGTGTTTTGTGGGTAAAACACTTGTGTCTAAGCCTATTTATCTTGCAATAAGTTTAGTGTTTCTTTCTGATCTCTCTTTAAAGGTGTTTTGTGGGTCACAATAAACTAATGGGCACTATGCATTTCGTTGTCTGCTGATCTAGTGCATAAATAGTGTTTAGAGTGTACAGAACTAATTGTAAATTGTTTTACAATTATTTATTTTACTTTGCATGCATGTTTGTGTACACATGCAAGCATGCTGTGTCCCTGGGACTGTGATTACAGGTGGTTAGAGTTGCTCTGTGTGTGCTGGGCAGCCTCTGCACAAATAAGTACTATTAGTCGCTGAGCCAGCTTTCCAGTCCCAGCCTGGTGTTCTTCGATAGCAATTTATTTATACTTTCTCCTGAGGAGAAAAATGCATTACTTGGGTATTTATAATTAATGCTTTGTTGTTGTTCTGCCTTTTGTTGTGTGGTGGGAATCCTACATTATAGTCATTACTTTATATTAAAAGTCAATTATATCCAGTAGCTGGTGACAAGTGAATTTTCCACATGACATTGTATACTGTACAGTTTTACATATTTAACGTGATCTTAATATTACAATTTTTACCATGATAAAATTTGTATAACATAAACACTACTATATTTTATATAGTAGCTAATAATGCAAATTTAATTGATCAGTAGTCATTTAATGTCCTAGGACACACAGAAAACAAACAAAAGTTAAGATGATGTAATCCTCCAACACATGTGTTATAAGAACAGATGGATAGTACACAAATTTACCTTTGGGCATATTTTTGTTCTCTGCACTGCAGTATTTTCCCAGAACTTCATTTGTTTTTGAGTTAAAACTAAAGATGTTTATTAATTATATTTACAGTAGACATCCAAGGAGAGGAGAATAAAGTTATGATTTTTAACTAAATTATTGAGTAAACACAATACTGTTGTTATTCTAAGAAAAATAATTCATTTCAAATGAGCTGTGCAGTATGCCTGTTTCAACTAAATAGTAAACATTAGGGGAAAGTAACTTACTTGTGTGTGTGTGTGTGTGTGTGTGTGTGTGTGTGTACATATATATGAGAGAGGGAGAGAGAGAAAGGGAGACAGAGAGGGAGAAAGAGCAAGAGGTAGGGGGAAGAAGCCACTGTGGCCCAGTTGCAGCACACCCTGAGGCACTGTCCAGCAGGGGATGCTCTCAGAGCAGGCAGGCTACAGACACTAGGATTGTAAAACCCTTGAAAGTTTTTATTCAAAAGACTGTCTTCATGTGCTCTGGAAGTACCCCAGCCTCTGATAACCTACTCTAATCAATAGTATATGTAAAATTAAAGAATAACTAAATGAATCATTTGCATCTTGTTGTTTGCCTTGAAATGACTTTTTACAAACCACAGCATATATGTTGCTATGCATCACTGAGGGGAACTCATAGCTACTTTTCCAAACAGAATCAAAGTGTAGTTAAGTTGTTTTAAACACAGATTTAGAAAATGAAATTGAGGGCTATAAACTAGTAGCCAACTAAAGCAAAACAGCCTGGAATGTTGGTAACCAATTGCACACATGAACTCCAAGGAAAACATATTGAATTGCTAGTGCTATAATAAATTATAGTTTTCACGTTTGTACTTCATAAGTGAGCACAGCAGCAAGTAAAGCTTGTGGAAATAGAGGACAGTGATGATGTTTTCAGTTCACCCACACCTATGATAAACACGTAGACCTCTTTTATCATTTAAAGAACTGGGCAAATGGGACAAAACTGAGAAAACACTTGGAAGCCAGAGTGCCACCATTGAGGGAAATATGGCTGAGGTACACGAAGGGTTGTCACAGATGATTTAATGAATGTGATGATTTTTCCTACTTTCTTTGTCTCTCTCTTCTCATAAGAAAACCCATGCCACATTGAGCCTACACCCAAGGGGCTATCTCATTTTCTTCAGGGTTAATTTTCTCTCTTAACATAATGAGATAAATGACTCAATAGTGCTGGTGTCCTGGGAGTGTTCAGAGGGCATGAAGTGGTCACGAACTGGTTTATCTCCAACCTTCATTAGCCCATGAGATAACTGATTGTGGGTATCCCAGTTACTTACAAAATAAGGGACTTCTAAGGGAAGAGAGTCAGTGCCACAATGATGGAACTTGGCCTCCTGTTTCAGAACAGAGACTAGCAATTCCCATTGGTGGGTCAAGACTTGGAGTGAGAGGGTGGGTTGATTTATGCTTCTAAGGTGTCCTGGAGTGTATCTGCCCTGATTGGCTTCCTTGATCTTGACATAAGTCACTTTGGAGTCAAGATAATGCAAGTTTCATTGAAGAGGCCCTCCAGTTTATGCAAATGGAATCTTATCTTCAAAGAGAACAAATGCTTGGGAACATTTCTTTGTTACTTAGAAGTTACTAAAGGAAAATGCTTTTGGAATTATTTTTCCTGACTAATTCTTGTTTACCCTAACTTGCATAAGCACAGAGGCAACTAACTCCATCAAAAATATTTAAAAATTCTTACATTTACTTGATGATTCTTCTAAGAAAATCACAATGTATTTAGTTAAAATATTGATGATTGGAATTTGCAACCTAAGTGTTGCTTCATAGTTATTCTAAGTCAATGAAGTTATACATCTTGGGATTTCTTGGGACTGTATCTTTAGAACAAGATGATTGGAAGAAGCTCAGTGTTGAAACTAAACAAGGTTCAGACATGTGATAGGACACCAGCAGCAACATATCTGTAGGTAAGTGTAGACCTACCACTCAAGTTAGAAGAGAACTGGTGTCTGTTCAAAGATGCTCTGGGCTTTGTGCATGAGATGCTATATAGACACAGACTTTAAATCAAGTGACAGTTTTGTATCCCTATCTTTTCTGTTTTGCCATTTATCTAAATAATTATAACACAAAATTGTGGCAAAAGCCTTCTTGCCTCACATAGTACCTATTTGTTCAGTGTTTGGTAGACTGCTTGGAAAGAGTAAAAGCAATCTTTTAACAGCATGTAGTGACACTTTTCGTCAGTAAGGGCTTGGTAAGAGTGAATAGTTTGTGGTAATCTCTCTGTTTTTTTCAGACTGTTGCCAATAGAATGTAGGAAGTTTAGAGATACAGATGGATCTTAACCTTCATGTCAGGTCTGTGTTCTGTGACATTCTAAGCTTAGATTAATGAGTGTCATAACTATCCAACTAAAACTTATGTCAACCTGAACTTTAACTGCAACCAATACAATGAACAGAACTGCATATGGTGGCTCATCCCTGTAATCCCAGCACTTGGTAGGCAGAGGCAAGAGAATTGCTGCATTGAGATCCCTGCACATATAAAAGGTATATAACACCCTGGCTAGGGCTGCATAGCAAGGCCTGTCTCAAAAGACAAAAAGCAAATAGAACCCAAAGCGGGTTTTGAAGGGTCATTCTGTTTTTTAGCTTTCTCTCCCACTTTCATTTATATTGCCAATACTATGCAACATAAAATTGCCAACATTATAACTATACTGCACTCAGATGACAACATACTCACTGTAAAGATTTCACACATGACTATTGTATTCAGATCATCTGTATTGTTAACTCATTGTTTGCAAACTTGAAATTCATACTACCTTTTGTTGCCACATTATACAGCTCTAGAAACATGGTTAAATATGATAGAACTTTTTTTCTTTTAAGGTCACCTTAATCCTTCCTGTTTTTGGCCATAGAGTGATTTTAGCTGAATTCATCTACAGTGTCCCAAAATGGCAGCTTCTTTATCCCAGTAGACTTTCACTTGCAACTGATGGAAAAAGACTGGCTATGCAATTGTAATTAAGTTGTCTTAAAAACTATCAGAGCCAGATGTTGGTGGCCCATGCCTTTAATCCCAGCACTCAGGAGGCAGAGGCAGGAGGATCTCAATGAGTTCGAGGCCATCCTGGTCTCCAGAGCAAGTGCCAGGATAGGCTTCAAAGCTACACAGAGAAACCCTGTCTCGAAAAACCAAAAAAACAAAAAACCTATCAGAGGTTACAAAGCTTTTTTATAGTTTCATAATTACATTTGTATATATTGCATACCTGTGTAAGATTATTTAGTAGTACATGATAAAATCTATTATACATTATAAACATACAATAACAGCAATAGTTTGTGATTCTTATCATTACTTGAGTGAAAAGATTTATATCGGTTCAATATAAAAGTGACAGACTTGTGAGCAAACCTTTGACATGGACATTAGCAGTTATAATATGGGCATTTAATTTTGGCCATGGATTAGAGATGTGATTACAAGTGTACTTGTTGGTGTAATCTTTTCTCCCACAAGGAAGCATAAACACAGTTTTCAGGAGAAATGACTTTTCAAAGGAACTGGAAGACTCTGTTTATTAGTCAAAATGAAAATGCAAGTAATGACCTGATCGGGATGCACGTGAGAGCTGGCCTGGGAGGGTCATCTGCAGATGATGCTCTGATCACATCCCTGGTGTGCTACAGTGCACTCCGGGTGCCTACCCAGGCTGAGATTCACATAGCCATCCACCAGGCCAAGGATGAAACTGTGGAGACAGCATTGTTAGCTGCCTTTACATTTTGTAAGATGCAGTGTGTATTTCATTCTTTTTCACTTTTAGTCAGCAAGAATGCAGAATCTTGTTAGACATTTGGTCAAGTCAGACAAGCATCAAAACTGATTAAAAAATATCAATATAATTTCACCACCCAGATGTGGACACTGTTTCTTTTCTTTTTCTGTGTGAAAATTATGGTGCTGGTTTGCAAAGATAGTAAATGTTTCTTCCTTTTGCTAAGTTTTAACAACTTAGGCAAAACTTGTCTCCAATATCTTTCAACTCTTATACACCTATTTTACTACTGTGTTCAGCAATTAATATTTTAGACCCTAGTGCCCCCGATGGGCTGTGACAACTCTTGCTCTCCCTGTGAATCACAGGGCCTGTCTGAAAAAAAAAAAGGCCTATGAAGAAATTTCTCTCAGGTGTCTTGGCATGAACAAGGAGTTCAGAATTACAGCACCCCTCTCTCTGCTTCTGTGGAAGAACATGGACATTTTGGTTAAGCTTCCCTACCAAAATATTTTTTGGAGGTAATATATCATCGTGGTCAATGGGTAACCTTTGTCTTAAATATTTTTGGTGATAATTGTGGAAGTGTGGAAGAACCCCAAACACCTCATGAATCCATGGTATTAGGAGCAACACTAAAATTATATCTTCTTGCAAAAATGCATAGACAAAAATTGTGTTATCTTTAGGCCATAAGAAAAAAGTGGGGGGACTCCCTGCTTCCAGGAACACAAAGCACAGCACTGGGAATGTTTTACTAAACACATTCAAAACAGTTTTTGATCAGAATTAAATATAAGTTCAATGAATTGCTTACATAAGCCCTGTGCTACCTCTCTCCCCCTCCACCAAATGCCTAAGTAAACTTTAGTTTTCAAGTTGAAAGGACCATTCTAAAATTCCTCATTCTTAATGCTCTAAAACGCCCGAGTTCAGAAAATTAAATTACTCCGTTTTTATCTGTTTGAGATCAGCTCTGTTTCCTCCTTTGCTTTGTGTTTACTTTCCTGCAGTAGCTGACATCAGAATGTTTTCTGGAATGCTAGGGCTAAATAAGTTATGCTTAACTCAATAGCTAATACAAATAGCCCTGGGGAACCTCAGCCACACAATCATAAAAGCTATAGTTTCTTTTAATAGCTTGCCACACTTTGCTGATATAGTATTCTCTAATCACCAATCTTTATGTGCCTTCCTGACCTTGGAGCTCTCAGCCCAAATGGCTTTGTGGTATCAAAGGACTGTGTCATTGGAAGAGTGAATGGCTTTCATTTTTCCCCTTGAAACTTCCAGTTCCTGTCATCTGTAAGGAATTACCCTGGATGGTGTTTTGCTGCCTTGCGGCCACTACCCTGTCCAATGGAAGTGACTTTTCCCAGAAAGGTCACAGTGGTCAATAATAGGTGGATATTGCATTCAAGGAGGAGGCCACTCTGATTTCTCTATAATTTTTTGTCTTAAAAACATTGCTTGTTCTCACATCACATTAGTTAAAAACCTAACTCATGATTTGTTTGAGAACTATTTCAGGATGAGTGGATACTCTGTCAAGTAGTAAGGCTAAATGTCAACTCCAGGCTTCAAGCCATCTTGTGGGGTAGAAAAATTCCTTCTTGGTAGTGCATGTATGAAGATCTGTTACTGGACAGCACTTCAGAAGCATATATGAAAGCATGCCACAGCAGTGACTCTGGAATGCCACTGCAGTGTCTGTTTGTGCCTTTGTTAGCTAGCTGGGATCCATGGAGACTCACATGCCTGACTCACCTTTCATTTTTCTCTACTTAATTGTAAGTAGTAGTAGTGGATGGCATGACTGTGTTTCCAAGGCAATCAATAGTTAAACATCCTAGTTATTACAGTTTCTTACATTCTCTGTTATGTAGACTCTTAGAACTGTGTAGTGAGCCAGCAGTGTGTACAAACATAGAAATAACTGATGATGCTAGTGAGATTTAGGACTTGATACAAATGTTTCCAACAAGAGATGAACAGATACTTAGTGAAAATAGACATGGAATGTATAAGCATCTACATAAAATCAGTGTGCAAAAACATAGGAAGTTTAGTAATTCATGTGTGTTACATAATTCCATCCACTTATACAAATTCTGAACATACTTTTATTGCTGCAAAGAACAATCATTCATAAATGAGAATGTTGCTATTATCAATTGGATCCAAATTTCTTGATATTTTTCCAGACTATTTCTAACATATTGTTATGTAGTGATATGTCTTCCATTGATTTCAATTTGTGCTAGCTTATTTTATTATATGTGTTAATAGCACTGAAAATTCAACTTAGAAAAAGGTGAAAATGTCTTCTATTTCAGTTCATTTACTTTAGCCATTCTTACTTTATATAAAGTATAGTGAATACTTACAAAATCAAATACCTTAGATGTGTAAGTGTCCACAGTAGCCGTTTCTTACCTTTTATATTATTGAATACTCTTCAAATCATTTTTTTCATGACTTAGCTGCAGTGAATTAAAGAGATACCTTTTAAGGCAAAAGAGTGCCATAGCTGAGAACTATGGAACAATAGGTAAGCTTGCTATGGCAATGAAAAACCCTTTAAAAATGTTTCCTTTCCAGAGAGGTAGCTTTTGTGAAAGTTTGGAAATGTGGAATGTTCCCTTGTACATGTGTGTATGTGTGTGTGTTGGTTGAGGAACAGCATTTGAAGTCTTTAGGTTTATGTGACATATTCTAGTGCTTTAGAAACAACATGTTTTATGCACACTGTCTCACTGGCACCCTGAAGCCTTCACTGACCCTATGACCTTGACTTGAAGACTCAGCTACAATTTTGACTCTACTAAAACCTCCTGAAGATAGCAGGTAGCTGACATGCTTGCTGTGTATCTCACCTCTGTGTGTTGGTAACGGCCTTCAATCACTCTACAGTTTATCTATATTCATGTGTGACGTTTTATAGGAAAAATACCTTGTTGGCTAGTTTCTGTTTGGTAGCAAACCATGCTAAAGTGTCTGAGCTGAGAACAGTGAACATGTGTCCTTTCTCTTGCATTGGCTGATGATTTGGTTATTTTTGACTAGTCAGCTCTGGATATGCTTCCTTCACTTGTCTGGGAGGTTGGCCCTGCTATAGGGCTGTGGCTTCCACATATCTGACTGTTCATCCTCTGGACAACTATGTGAAGATGGTGTGGCACAAGGTCTTCTGACCACAAAACACAGTCAGTCTAGTTGGCCCCCATGCTTTCCAGTCTCTGCTTCCATCACTCCAGCCATTTCCATCACTCCAGCCATTATCCTGTTTATTGAGGGACCTCCCTTGGCTGAGCTCAAAGCCAATATAAGAGGTGATTACTTAAGTCATACACAGGATGGAGTGGCCATACAGAGTTTTCCTACTACATTAGGCTACCAGTATCTCCCTAGTTTCTTAAACGAAGTTCAGTTATATGGAAAACCATATTAAATTTTGGCATGACTGTTTAATTTATGTTTCTTTTGAATTAATATTAGGATCAATAAATATATTGAAACTTGTTCAAGAAACAAACCAGTGTTTTTCCTCCTCTTTACCCCAAAACAAAGCACAGGAAAACAACTGAGATAATTAGACATCCCTGCAGTTTTGGCCATCATCCCACACACTCTGGGATATTAAGGAGAATAGTGCATCCAAATGCTTTACAAAAATGAGATCTGGCAAACCAAAAAAGACATCTTTTGAAAAAATTTTTTCATACACTATATCTTGGTCATGTTTTCTCCTACCCCAAATCTTCCAAGATTCTAATCATCTCGATACACAGAAAATTTCATGTTCTTTCCAAAGAGAAAGAAATCAAAACAAAAACCAATAAGGAAAAAAAGAAAAAGCCCTCCCCCAAAAGTGGATTAAAATACCCACAAAATACAATGGAGTTAGTTTTGTGTATTAGCAACTATCCCTGGACCAGAAGCCTACTTTGAGTATGATTGGTATATGCAGAGATACTCCATTGGAGAAGACTGATTTTTTCCCTTTGCCAGAAGGTATCAATTGCAAATAGCTTCTTGTTTAAGAGTGGGACCCAGTGTCTACTTTGCATCTCAGCACTGCAATCCCATCTGGTTTAAACATGTCCAGTCCTATGTGTGCTGTCACTGTCTCTGTAAGTTTTTATGTGCATCAGTCCTGTTTGCATATTTTTCACAACAAAAATTATTATGTGTCCCATCTATTTAAAACAAAAACAATTTATCATAACTGAATACCACACACTAAACCAACCATAATGAACTGACCCTGTTTTCAGATTCGATTCAGTTGGTCTATTAATGATTTTTATTGGTAGTTCTTAGATGTGGTAATATGATATTCTGAGCATGTGTTTTTACTGTTTCAAAATTATAGTTTTTAACCAGATCAGAAACAAATTGTCTTATCATCATGGGGAGACAGACTTGAGGCAGTTTGTGAACACAGTCCTCTGTGAGTATTGGAGCTTGTGCATGGATGAAATAGTTAAGAAAGAGCCATTGACTTTTCAAAGACCTTCTAGATTTTCACATATATTCAGCGTCCTGGACGTGTGGCTCCCTAAAAATCCGTGTGGAGCTGTGGGCAGGAAGAAGCATACATTTTGGAGGCAGATATGGATTAAAACTTGAACAAGGTCCTCCAATTTTCTATGGTTTTGTAGCAATAGTTGAGGTGGCAATGCCGATGGGCAGTCTCAATAAATATTAGTTGTTACCGTCCTTTCTCACTCACTCCTTTTCTTACTGTTAGACTCAACTACTACGAGTGTGTTGGGTAACTGTAGGCAGCCAAAGAGAACCTAGAGTGTTGCCTAGCTTGATCTCCAGGCTTCTGGCCTTTGTTAAAAGACTAGGATGCTGATGCTCTGAGTGCCAGACCAATCTTCCCAAGGCTGTTCTCCCTCTCCTGTTTTCCAGGTCTGTCTTTTTGGAGACCTGGTACCTTTCCCTGAATCCTGACAGGAAGATTGTTTTGCCTCAAGTGATTAGTTTGATTGTCAGCAAAAGGCCCTCAGAGGCC